CAAAATAAAATACACTTCAGAAGCCAGGGAAATTGTACAAAGATGTTGAAAGCCAAGAGACTGATTATCTTTGAAGGGCAAAGAAGGAGCATAAACATGAGAAGGGTTTCAGGAGGTTCATGATGTTCTATTTCTTGATGTGTGATGTTTTGGTGCATAATTCACTGATTATCCATATTTTGGGAAATAATTAATACATACATATTTCTATTTTTAAAAAGCCTTATAAAGCCCTAATTTCTATTTTAGATTTTGATACATTTTTTTTTTTAAACACATGAGTTCTCTCTGTGTTTCCTAAAGATATTTTTCTCTATTGTTTGTATTCTGGCCAAGGATGAATGTTACATGTGAAAATATCCTTCTCTGGTTTACTCACAAGAGAGGCTCAGACATTTCAACCCCCGAAGGTTTGCTCAGCCTTATGCCATACATCACTGGTAGGAGTTTGTCTCAAAGAAAATAGAGATGGTTGATAAGAGACGGGAAATGGGTGTACATCTCACTTCCGAGTATTGCTAATAAAAATGTTACTTTGGAGCATCTCAACTCAAAGCTTGAGAAATGAATCTAAGCATTTCTTAGACGCATGGGATAACAGTTTTATCTGCATGCCGCAGTCCCCCGGGGATGGGTGCCTGGAGCAGCTGGGTTACAAATGACTAGATGCCACGCGAGGCCTGTGATGGAGGGAGCATAACGTCTACTCCACAGGCACAGGATGGAGCACTGGTAGCACAAATGCCTTATCGATTCCATGACAGAGTTAGCAGTCTCACAGGATAAAAATATTTGATTAAACATTTTAATGCTTCACAGAGGAATCCATGATAAAGTTCTAGTATGCTATACAGTATCTATTTAACTTACTTAAAAGCTATATTATTTTAATACAAATATCTATAATATGTAATTATAATTTTTATTTAATTATAATCATTTATCTATGATATATACCTATTACATACAGTATACATGTAAGCATTTACAATATTTGAAGATTTGTTTAATATAAATTATAAATTAATATAAATTAATTTCTGTTTTAAATTCTTACTAATGAAGCAAATTCATAACACTATAGATTATCTTTAACAAAAAGTGGTTTAGCAACAAACCAAAAAACATTTAACTTTAAAAATATTTTCTCATTTATTCTCTCCTTTGTAAAACAGAACTGCTAAAATGTAATACTGGTAAAGAAAAACAATTTCTAATATTATTATCTTTTATTCTTGGATTTTTCTAAGATCTAAAAGCTTTCCATTTTTTTGTGAGATAAACTAGACCACACAACATAATACTTTATAATCAGTCATTTATCTGATCAAGACTAATAGGAAAATTAACTTTTCCCACTGCAGCTTTCAGGAAGCCGTTAGCTGTGACTAAACAGACACCCACATCCTACCTACCTTCCAGCACCCCCTCTGTAGATTCTGTTGTGAAATTAGATAACTGGTACTCACACAAATTCAAAAGATGCAAATGTTAGTGACGAGAAGAACTTAAGTGTGTACAAACTACTTCTTATTCCATCCCATGTACCTAGTATTATTAGCATCACCAGATGGGGGAAAAGTGAAGTGAAATTTCACACTTCCGCCTTTCACATTCATGCTGCTTTCTGCAGAACCCTTGCCAGGAAGGTATACTGGTTTCACTAAATTCGAAACCCCAAATCTCAAATGTGTACTCAGCTTGCTCTACTTCCTCTCGTATGTTCATTCTCTCAATGGTCCAAACCATAAGCAGTGCAGCCAATGTCTTCTTTCTATAAACTTCTAACTAGTGCCCATCCTGTTCTCTATCTGATGACTTTGCTTCATATTTCACATAAAAACAGACCCACTCAGAGAGAGACTTTCTGCCTTTGCCACCGTATTTCTATCTTGATCAGAGACAGCAATGCGTATTCCAGTGGACAAAAGGCAAACCACTCACTAGCAGTTTGTTCCCAATTTCCTCTAATCCACTTGAGCATGGTGGTACAAGCCAATTCTCAACAGACTTCTGTAACAACCAACTTAATACCCCTACCATATCCCTCAAGTGTATTTTCTAAGTCGCAGCCAAAGCAATCTTTTCTAAGTTCAGATCTGATTGTGGCCCCTCCCTGCTTAAAAGCTTCCTATGATTTCCACTGCTGCCTCTCACTCTGAAATTTAAAGTCCACACACAGCCTACTCAGCCCTGGGTGACTCACGCAGCTTCTTCCTGGGCTTCCTCCCCAGAGCTGGGTACTCGGACCGCTTTAGTGTTTTAACACTACCCGTCCCCTTTGTCCGGAACGCTCTTTCTCTGCTCTACTCACCAGCAGGCCTCCTCGGGCGTTTTCAGGGCCCACTGCCCCACGGGAAGCTACCATCCATTTGTTTTCATATCACTCTCACCCTTTTTTTCCATATGAAATTGTGTTGTTTGCTAATTTTTTAAAATACCATCTATTGCTCCCAATTCCATTATAAAGAATGTGAGAGCAGAACCTCATAGATTTTGTTTACTGCTAGATTCCTATTGTCTGAAATGTTGTAAAGCAAGTAATAAATGCTCAAAGAATTACTTGTTCAATGAATCAAGACAATCTAAAAGTTAAAAGTCACTTAGTCTGAACCATCATTCCAATGTTTAAAACTCGTAATAACAGTCCTGAGATGTTCTGACCACTATTCCTGATCACTTAGCAACAGCGCTCTCACTCCTGAGGGAAACAATGCTATTCCTTAACCTGGCCTGTTCAAACCCTTCCTCCTTCTCAAGGGGAGGTCTGTCTGTAGCTTCTAATGTGTGGAGGCCCCTACAGTCCCGCAGAACATGCAGCTTCTGCATCACACATGACAGTGCTTCATTGATCTGAAGACGGTGACTGCACCTTCTCTTGGCTCAATGGCCCCAGTCTGAAGAGCTCTACACGTGGGGTAGTTAAGGGATCCTCCTGTGCATTCCAAGACCTCCCTCAATCACAGTGTTGTCTTATACTTAGTTACCAACCAGGCAATGAACATCCAACTCTGGCCCAATTTGCTACTTCTTGTCTGGTTGGATCAAAGGATCTCTCTTTTAGCAGCATGATTTGATCTAAGGCACTCTTATCTCTGTCCAGTTCAAGCTCACACACAATCTCCAAACATGTGCCTTTTATGCTACCTCCTGCTGACCACTTCCAAAAGCTTACTACAATACAATCATTTCTCATCCTCTTCTTAAAACTCCCCATACCATTCAGCATTCCCTCCCTTAACTATTCTTGGAGGAAGGCTTTTGGCTCCCTTTCTTGCACAAGGTTTTGATTTTCTCCATGTGTAAATTAAAATTGTAAGCTCTCTTAATTTTCACAAAAGTACCTACAATCACCTGAGGCAGACCTGCGATGTTTCTAACCAGCAACAAGGGAACCATGAAAACTAGAGGCTCTTCTGTGACCATCACCAGAATAGATCTGAAGCTGAAGCAGAACAGACCTCAGACAAACCAGAATAGTCTTTGGTGGACCATCCCTACATGGCCCGCTAGAAATGCCATGATACTTAATACTATTCACTTCCTTGCTGCTCTAAGACAGGGCAAAGAAAACATGAATTGCCCCATACCAAAATATGGGGTAAATTAAATGGCTGTATACAGTGACACATTTCCGGAACAATTAGTTTTTATACCTTTTCCCTCCAAAACAAACTGGCATCTCATGTAAACCATTCAGATAGGTAAAAACTGCTGGGAGCTTCATGATTAGGAAAATATAGTATGGTGTTCTGAAAACATTCTGTATCTCAACAGTACATTAACATTTTGGTAAAGAGAGTCGCCCTAAGGCTGCAAGCTAAAGAATAAAACTGTATTATATCCTCAGATTTCTGGCAATGTCCTGATGGCTAAACACTGACGGCACAATGCCTAGGATAATCTATGGTACGTGATTAGTTGTGATTTAGGCATCAAAACAAAATAAAAAATATGTAGGCTCAAATCTGCCACAGGGACATTTCTTTAATTTGTACATATATTCTGAGGAGTAACAATTTCTAATAAAATGTCACACTGGATCATCAGTTTACTGACATGTTGTTTCTGACAAGTGTAGCAAGGGATAATCTGTGGGGAATCCAAGTAATCGTCTTCTATAGCGTCTGTCTTAATAGATGAAGATGTCTCCTCTTGCTATGGTTCAAATGTAATTTGTCCCTACCACAAAAACTCACGTAAGGCTTGGTCCCCAGAGTGGTGATGTTGGGGTGTCTCTAACAGGTGGGTAGATCATTCAGAGAGATTAATGTTTTCTTGATCACTCAGGACTGGATTGGTCATTATGACAACACACAGTTGTCAAGTGTGTTTGGCTTCTTCAGCTCACTCTCTCCTGCATCCTCTCTTGCTGTGTGATCTCTTCTGCCATGATGCTCTCACCAGGAGCTGGGCATGTGCTGGTGGTGCTAGGCTTGGACCTCCAAGACTGTGAGGTAAATCACGTGTTTCCTTTATAACCTCAGCCTCAGGTATTCCGTAACAGCAACACAAAAAGGACTGAAATACCTGCTTTGTGCACCTCTGCTCCTTAACTACGTGACATGCATTTGCATTTACAAAAGTAACCTCATCAGAATCCCGTAAGATATTTTAATAAACGTATGTCTCTTGAGCTCTTCATAGTGCTCCCCAGTTCCAAACCTATGGGATTGAGTCAACAAGTCTCTAATTTCATAGAGAACCAGAAGTCTTAGAGCAAATACAGGTATCTACTGTATTTACTGTATTATCCTTTTAAATCTTTATTTCATTACTGAAATAATGTATTACATGCCTCACTCTGGTACTTTACAGAAAAATACACAGTCATCTCTATTATAATTATCTCATTCATTCTAGAGTTTTGGTCTTTGAAAATCTTTTTTTAGAGAAATGCTCCTCCCTCCCTCAACTGCCAGAGCTATCTGTTCATGAATGTCCACCAAGTAATATTTGCCTTGAAAGCTATGATGAAGTTGATCTGAAACTCAACTTACAACTCTGCGTGATCTTCTGGATGTTGGAAGAGATGCGCTGGGCCAGTTGGGCAGGGTCCCCACCAATCCCTGGAGTGTAAGACATGGCTGGCTTGCCGACTCGCCAATTTCATCAGATGCTGGTAGGTTATGCAGGTTTCCAGGCAGTCACCTGAGAAACACAGAAGTCACATAATTGTTTTTAAAGTTGCTGGTTTATATTTTCTGAATTAGAGGGTTACTCACTCCTCTGCAAAACTCTTCAGCCATCAGCAAAACTCTTATTTCTATAAAAACAAAACTGGTTCCTTGAGGATAGAGTTGTGTTAAATACGCTTAACAATCAAAATAAGATTCAAGTTGCATATTTCCTTTGAAAACTTCTTTGATCTCCCTAAGGCAGATTATTAAGTCCCATTTCTATGAGTAGTTTTAATTGTTTATATATTTTCTTCCTAACAAAACTGTGAGCAACTATAAGGCAAGGCTCACATGCTATTTATCATTCTCCAACATTTAAAATAACTCAACATAAAACAGTTAAATATTAACGGAACACAGAGATCAGCCTATTCCCAGAAATTTCATTGTATCTAATATAACACACAAGAGGAGCTCAGGGTCCCTAATTTTCATGGGAAAGGTTAAATTTCAGATAACAGAGCCAAGAGAAACAGCATCCTATAAAACACCCATCAGAGTTTCTTCACAGAGCAAGGAGAACAGTGACTCTTCTCTTCCAGCAGCCAACATCTTAGGACAAAAGGCAAAGCTGGGGTACTGCTACAAGAGGTAAGAGATAAGCACTGCCTTCTTCAATCCACATCACACCACTCAGGGTTTGAGAAGAAGACTGTAAAAGGATGCTTCACCATACAGGGCTGTACACTGCAAAGAACCTCAATTAATCTTAGTCATCTCTACAATGAGCACGAGAATATTGCAGCGTTGTCAGCAATCTATTTGTAAGCCTGCTCTCTATTAAGATCCTGCCCCATGTCCACTACTAAATGAAGCACTGGGAAGATACAAGACAAAATAGAAAACTATTGTTCAAATCAAGGTTGTCAGGCCAGGGATGTAGCTCAGTGGCACTGCACTTGTCTGGCAAGTACAAGGTCCTGAGTTCAATTCCCAGCACTGGAAGAAAAAAAGCAAGCTTGTCATTTAGGAGAAAGGATAAAGTTAATAGTGTAAGCCAACAAAAAATAATACAAATCAATAAAAGTCATGCGCTAGGCAAAAGTGACAGGGACTACAAAAAATGAAAAATCACTATTGCCCCTGTCTAGAAAGCATTTATGAAACAAAAACTTAAGCTCTGGATACTTGGGGATGACTATTATGGAGAACAAAGGCCAGAACACGGACACTTAGGCAGACAGACCTAGAATACGTGAAAAGAACACACACTTTTACCAAAGTAGGGAGATTCTCAGCTGGCTCTGGATCAGATGATGCATGGCTGCGATAAGTGGGAAGCCACACCGAAAGGAAAGGAGAGTAGTAATGACCTAATATTTCGCAAATATCTGTGAAATGAGAAGTAATTCATGTTGACTGTCTAATTTTCACAATCTCTCCAACAGAGTAGGTACCATTATTACTGTTTTAATGATGGACTGTGACTTAAGATTTAAGTAAAAGGTTCAAGGTAACACAACCCACCCATTAGTGGAGGTGGGATTCAGCTCCAGGGTTCAGATTCCAAAGCTATTCATGCTTGCTACCAGGCAAAATACATGCCACAAGAGGCGGGCTCCTGGACCGGAGTTTAGTTTCAATATGTTGCAAAGAAATCACTGGAGATTTCTAATAGGGGACAGGAGGCCAAGAAAGACACCAAAGTCCAGAAATGCTTAAATAGTATGTATACACAATAACCTACACATATGCTCCATATTCTTCCATCTCTAATCCCTTATAATGCCTAACGCAATATATATGCTATGTAAATAGTTATACTTATTGCTTAGGGAATAATGATAAGTAAAAAGAGCATATACTTTTTTTCTTTGGTACTGGGGATCAAACTCGGGTCCTTGTGCTTGCGCAGCAGGAGGCGAAACAAATGAGCTAAATCCCCGGCCCCAGCATATACTTTTTATACAGATGCAATTAAAAAAATATCTTCCACAAGTAGTTGGTTAAAAGTACAGATGTAGAACCTGGAAATATGTAGGGCCAACTGCATATGTCTTTTTCCTAAGGGACTGTGCTGGCAGGAAGTACAACAGCTGAACTGCCACGACTAGACCAGTATTGGTTCCACCCCTGGAACTCAGGCCACCGAAAGTCCTGGGAGCTTCGAGATGCTATTCATTCCTCTTCCTTATTCCACAGGTTCAGTTTATCTCTTTGAAACCAAACTCTAGGTTATAGTCCCCAAATCGAAATCATTAAAGGGCAAATTCAAACCTCAACTCAGACAGCTGAATTTTTGCAGCAGTGTGGCAGGAACAAACATCCTTCCAGGAAGCCTTGGACCTGGACCTGGAGCCACCTGAAGAGCTGCGGCCCTGACAGAACAAAATCACATCTGGAGATTCAATCAGACCAACACGATTTTGAACAACCTACAAACCATCAGTTGGATCTGTCAACTCAATAAAGAGTCTTACTAAGGTGTAATTCACATAGCACACAATTCATCCATTTAAAGTATTTAATCCAATGGTTTTTAAATACAATAACAACGTTGCGTTTAATCAACACCAAATCACTTCTAGGACATTTTCATTTCTCTAAACAAGAAGCTCATACTCATTACTAGTCATTCTTCATTTCTCCTCAACCTCACCAGCCATAGGCAAATATAATCTTCATGTCTTTATAAGTTTGCCTATTCTGAACATTTTGCGTGAATGGAATCATATAATATGTGCTCCTTGTGACTGGCTTCACATATGTTTCTTTTCACGGGTCATTCTACATTGTAGTATTCCTCAGTACTTCATTCTTTTTTATTGCCAAATAATATTCTACTCTCTGGGTAGACAATTTATTCTGGGCTCAATGACATCTTCCCTCTTTTCCCTCTGTTAACTAGATCTGGCTTATAGCCAACACAAACACACTATGAATGAGAAAATAGTCTTTCTTATTAAGTATTCTCTTGGTGGGAAGGGCTCCCCACACTTTAACCATGGACAGGAATGAGTCTCACATCCAGGTCTCCAAGCCACACTCTTCACTCTCTCTTTAGTTTCTGCATGTCTTTGAAGCTATGAGAACTCACCAACTGCCTGTTCAGCTGCCAGTAAAACTGGCAACTACAAATCTCTTCTTTGGGCAAAACATTTAGCATCTGAGTCTCTGCCCAAGGACTAAGTGCTTTTCCACCTTGCACAGCAAAGGCACGATGTTCTCTTGCACCTGCAGGGCCTGCGTCAGAGCTGCACAACACATCAGCACCTGTGGCTCCTCTCTCCCTGCAGAGAGCATCCCCAGAGTCCTGCCAATTCAGGCCCGGAACTGTGGCCCTGGAGCTCATGCATGTCTGGCCCAAGTCTTCTCACTGTCTTCTTCAAGCGAACCTTCTTCCTTTCCAAAGAACCAACCAATTAGACACAAACATAACCACTTTTCTTTATACTTTTACTCAAAAAACTAAATCTGAAAAAGTTCCTGCTAGTGAGATAACGGAGCTTCATTCATCCCAAGAGCTGCTACTCTTCAACTGTCTGGAATTTCTTAGACACAGGTACAAGGCAACCATCTCAGTTCAGTCCTGAGTGAAGAGGGAAAAGCAATTTGCTAAAGGACCATTTCCTGTCATTGTACCTTTTACATTTCCTTTCTCAGTTAATTCTTACAAGGCTATGAAGTAGGTACAATTACTATTGTGATTTTTCACATGAAGAAATTAAGACATAATGAGAATAAGTAACCTGTTTAAGATGAGCAAAACAGCTAAAATTTGAAACTAAGTTTTAGGGCTTAGATTTTCTTAAACACTAAGCTACACTGCCTTCTGTATAACCAAACTAAGGACAAGAGATCTCACTTAACCAGAAAAGCCAAATTTACCACCTTTCTGCAGACCCCATAAGAAATTTTTCTATCTTGATTTCTAAAATGAGGAAACAGGTTTAGGATAACTACCATGAGCGATGAAAGTAATGCACTGAACAGGATCTTCCTTTTCTGAATTATTCTGTTAATAAATGATATCTAAAAGGCAACAATGGTTCGTTCTTTAGATGAGACATGAGAATAATAAAGGGCCCAAATGGCTAACTTTTACTGAAAACAAAACAAAACAAAACCACACACAAATGCACAGATAAATAGCTAACTCAAAGCTGATTTTAAAAATTTATGATTTTTGCATGTAGGATAAATTAATGTTACATTTTTTCAAATGTTTACTTTCTATACTATCTCCAGGAAGTAATCCAAGCTGCTATACACCAAAATACTTTTGTTGAAAGCCCATTCAGCATTCCTAATGTCACTGCTCAAAATAGCAATTACATAATTCATCATCTATACCTGCAGTGTCTGATGGAGCAGCTGCTAACTACATGGAATATAAAATAAAAATTAGGTTAAATGCAAGTCACACTAATCACTTTCCAAGTGTTCAACAATTTTATGTGTTCAGCGTCAATGGCTGGCATGTAGTCTGTTTCCACCACTGCACAAAGTCCTGTTGGTGCTCAATTCAACATCTTTCTGTGAAGACACAGAAACACCACCAAGAGATAAAAGGCAAGGGAATCGAAGCGCAACACTCACAATGAGAGTTTCTTCTTCAAGACTGCTTCTAAAGAACAATAAAGAATGAAAAGAGAATTTCAATACAGAATCTCCACTGTCAAACACTACTCTCCAGCTACTACTGGATATATTTTAGCATCCTTAAGACTTCCAGTAAACATAAACCTCATGTTTTATAAATCTAGCTCGGCCAAAGAGGTTTCACTTTCAGTCAGGAGCACAAGCATAAAATACTGGAGTTACTTGGCTATCTGTAGAATTGGTGTTGAATAAATGTTGGTAGAATGACTGAATAAATGTTCTACTTCCTGAGAAGACACACCCAGCCTGAGAGTAAATAATACCATTCCATAACACCGAATTCCAGTGCCTTCTTTCAGATCTGACTGATCCAGGCAAACCTCGGCCTTAGATCTTTCTGGGTATGATCACCCACCTCCAGAAGGCTCTTCCCATAATCTCCATGGGACAGGCTTTTTCTCCCAGCAAGGTGCCACCGCATGCTGAAGACGCCTGATCCCAAAAGGAAAGTCACCACACCTCCATTTTCTGCTACTCTAACTTATGCTTCCCAACAAACAGCACTATTGAAAATGACCTAATTAGCATATTTGTCACCTGCACCTCCCTCAGAAAGGCAAACAGGAGAGTCCATCCAGTGCCTAGCAGAGGTAGATACTCAGGGAAGGTCAGGGTGCTTGGTCCACAACATGAGTGCTCTCTACCCAAAAGACATCAAGGGCATCCTTTAGCTCAGCTACTCCAGCAGCTGAACTACTACACTACAGCATTTGGCTTTAGTTCAAAGCACCAAGGATCTTCATTTTCACTCTTGCACACATTAAACTTTCAAATTACATGGTACCATGGCGAACTTTACTCAGACTTACTACAGATGTTTTATATACTTTACTTTTCCACCACCAGCACTGGGATAAAGTCTGGGACCACAACCAAAATGAGGACAAACTTGGTTAATAAGAAGCAGCTTAAGTAACATATCTGAAGGAAAATGACAGAGATGTTAATGAGTTACTATGGTACCACATTAACTGTGACAGACACTTTCAAACTACAGCTTATTTCTTAACAAGTCACAAGTCTGAGGCCAACTTCTCCAAGAGGCCTGCAAAGCAAAGGTTCATCCACGGCACAAGACACAACATTTTTATCAGTCAGGGCTGGTGTGTGGCTCAGAGCACACCCAGGCCTAAGAAACGTCCACCTCCCACATTACCAAACAGCACAGCCTTTTATAATTACTTCCTTTCCTTCAAGGTTCTGGGCAAGTTTGAAGTTACATGTAATTAGGCAGAATCTAGTGATCTGAAGTGATTAAAACTCAAGGTATGTCCAGAAGATCCAAGCAATGTAAAAATCTGAGGGACCGAGAGATGCAGGGAAGGGACAGCAGGGTGGGGAGGGAAAGGGAAGTAACAAGAATGAAGATGTGTTGTGGACATCTACTGAAGCCCAATGATGAATGTATCATTAGGTACTGCAAACATATTCTACTAAAAATAAAAAACAGATGAAAATAAATTTAAAAAATAAGACATGCCTGCACACAAGCACAGAGAGAGAGAGGCACAGAGAGAGACAGCGAGAGAAATATATCGCATTCTCGCAGAACGGCACTCCCCTTTTAATCTGAATTTAAAGTCAGTAACCTAGAAAACAAAGGGGAAGTGGGAGTTCTAAAAATATTTTATGCATTTTGAAGGTCTTTGTGTAAAGCAACTAAGGATGTGTACGAAGAAGGTCAAAGAAAGTTGGCGTGTCCAAGCCTGCAAGCCCGAGAGAAACCCAGCCACCGGGAGCCTCGGGTCGGCGGCCACGTCCTCCGCACGACGAGCGCGGTGAGCTTTCTCCATGCAGGCGTGGAAAAGAGGAAGAGGTCGGAGGGCGGCGCGGACGGGACCAGAGCGTCCGGCGGGCTGGGGACCCGGCGACCCCGGCCCCGCGGGACGCACATGGGGACCAGGCGACCCCGGCCGCGGGCCCCGACCGCGCAGGCGCGCACAGCACCGGGTGGGTGGGGGGGCGTGGGCCTGGAGCCGCGCGGGCCGCCGCCTCGCCTCAGCCCGCAGCAGCGCGCAGGGCGGTGGCTCCCGGGCCCCGCGCATAAACGGGGAGCGACAGCGTCTCCGGAGCGCCCAGTCAGCGACGCTCCCCTCTCCGGGATCCTCTTACCCCTACCTCCTCGGTTTCCTCCTCCGTCTGCGGTCACAGACACCCACAGGCCGCTCAGCCCTGGGAGGCAATTCTCAGCTGACAGGCGGCGGCGCGATGACGCCCAGTGCGCATGCCCTGGACACAGCCCAGGGAAGGAGGCGGGCCTCTCTCCCCTCCATTGGTCCATAGGGCTGAGTGACAGCTATACTGTCCCGCCCCTCTGGTGACGCGCTAAGTAATGGAATTACCAGCAAAATTGTACAGGAGCTGTTCTTTGAAGCTTCGCGAACCGAATGGTTCGTGGCGAATGCCTGCGCGCAAAGAGAAGAGGAACTGCAGGGTAGTTATCTTCTTTATTCGATGAAGCCACCCTCTCTGGGCTTTTGTCTTCACCCCGCCTTATCAGTCATGCCTATACTGTTTCTTAGACTATACAGCCACATTTGAAAATGCAAACACAAAGACTCAACCCTAGCAGGAGCCATGAAGGAATATGAAGTCACTTCCAGGTCCTTTGGTAGACAAGTTTTTGTAGCACGTGCGAGCCATTTGAAGCATCCTTGAAACGCAAGGTAGTTTATACAGGGTTTGAAAATGAGCAGAGAACAGAGAATGTTCCAATAACCATTCAAACATAATGTAATGGTTAGACGAAAAGTGTCAATTGCTTCCGGTGATAGAAATACCTCACCAAATTAATTAGAAAATAAAGTGGCTTGTGTAAGACCAAGGGCCTTACCAAACGCTCCGAGGAGCTGACTGCAGCGACGAACACCTGGGAAGGAACACACCGGACAAGTTGGAAAATAAAACAGACCTTTATTAGTCTGGCCAGACGGCACTCCCAAAGCAAAGTAGCTAAGAGAGGCAACTGGCTCAGAGTCCGAGGCTGTTTTATAGGGGGTTAAGGGGGAGGTTAACATGTAGATTTACGAAAAAAAGGAACAAAGGTTAGTGGTCCACTGTCACGTACTGATGGTCAGCAGACACATTGATGGATTGTTCTACAGGTAGTGGGCCCGGGGAACATTCGTTCTCCAGACAAACAAGGGGTTGAGTAATTTTACTTAGGAACTTTGTTTCGTTACAGATTCTATTATCCCAGAACTAACAAGCACATTTTAACCATTAATTTACAAGTACAATAGAGGCTAGGGGAATAATTGATTTTGGAATCATGCAGTCCCACAGCTTGGCCTTTGCCTATGTTAAGGCAACATTATTTTCTTAAAGGAGCATCAAGACATCATATCAGAAGTCCAGATGCATTTAAGTGGCAAAAAATACTAGAATATTTTGAATTGATACTACATGTGCAAACCGTGGATTGTTCAGTAATGTGCATGCATGCGTTCATAACTAAGGTCAGGGTTATACTCTACCTCTCCTGGAGTGAGAATGGAGAGAAGTGGTTGTTTGGGTCCAGCCGAGGACACACACCCTTCTAAAACAGTGTGACTCAAGTAGAGCCGTGGTGGACTTTTTGTTTGATTTTTTTGCTTTTGCACTACTGTGGGGTCAAATCTACGGCCTCCCCGTAAAAGGGAACCAGTCTATCCCTAAGGTACATCACCAGAACACATGGTAAATGTATAGGAAAAATAGCTCAAAAAAGGCAAATCAACTGAGGTTTTACTGGATCAGATTAGAGAAAAGATCTTGCGGAAGAATACAACAGAGACAAAAACTCACTATATACTGGAAGACAGAACACAAGACCAACACAACCTACTCCCGAAGCCACCCAACACCTGGGATCAAAGGCATATCCCACCACATCCGCCGAACCAAACTTAATCATATACCAGAATCACACAACATCAAGTAAAAAATCACCAAGTAAAAACAACAGTAAAGGGAAAAAAAACCAACAGCAGACAGAAAAAAAAAAAAACGATGGAAAAGGGACAGGAATGAACATCAAAGCTGGAAAGCCCCGCGCCAAAAATCCAAGGAAACCACTCAAATCACCGATAAAAAAAAAAAAAAAAAAAAAAAAAACTAAAAGGCAGAAAGAGAATGGAAAGCAGAAGCAGGAGGCCAAACAACCGAATGAAAAACTACAAAACAAACCCCCAACACCATGAAGCAAAAAAAGCCAAATAGAAGCCTAGAGGGTGAAACCTACACCGCAACAAACCAAAAGAAGCAAAGAAAAAGAGATGCAGTATATCAAAACAAGGAGTGCAACGAAAAGTATCCTTTTCAGGACACAGTAAGATATGCCACAATAAACGCAGGAACAAACCACAGTGAAACAGGTGGAAGAACAGAGAAAAGAAAACCCTCGCCCGAGCCAAAAAAGATTCACAACAAAAAGAAGAAACAAAAAGAACAAAGAGACAACAAAGTACCAGGGAAGGCAAAACCGAAAAGGATACTCCAAAAAAAATCAAAAGCAAGGAAGGCAAAAAGAGGACTTATAATGAAAACTATATGCATCACGCGAAAAGACTCGACAAGAGTGGAAGAAGCAATAAAGAATTTAAACCAAAGATAAAGAGTACCAACAAAAACATAACATCAAAAAAAGAAAACCAATAGGGAACCCAGAGAAATGAAAGAAAAACAACACTAACAATGAACGCAGAAAAAAAGACCACATAAGAAACCACCAACCTAATAGCACCCCTCAAAAATCCAAAAACAAAAAATTTAGAAGAAAGCCCCTAAGCCAAACACAGAAAAAAACAAAAGACAAACCAACAGCAGAACGAGAAACAACGAAAGAGAAGAGGCCGAAACGGCTAACATAAACTGAAAGGGAAAAAACAAACCAAACAAAGATCTAACAATAAAAACAAACAAATGCAAATATCAAAATAAAGGTCCAAAAGGGAAAAAGAAAAATAAAAACTAAAAACAGGACAAGATAGGATTGAGAAAAAAAAAAAACTTAAATGTACATGGAGGAAACATCAAGAAACGACCAGGACGGCAAAAAAAAAGATGAAATTAAAGACAGAGGCAGGATTGAAGCCACAGGAACAATAGAACTAACTATAACTACCAAAAATGAAGGAAGATCACTGCTGAAACACAAAACACAGAAAAAAAATACTAGAAAAAAAAAACAAGAGAAACACGAAAAAAAGAAACCACAAAAAAGTGAAGTACAAACTTCATTTCAAAAATCAAAAAGAGCAAATGGACCATGATGACACGAAACACAGAAAGCTCAATTAAAGAAGTGGAAACTACAATCTTTTACCTATTTTTTATTGGATTGCCTTCTTCTTGTTGAGTGTTAAGGATTCTTTCATATTGTGGTGCTTTATCAAATATATCACTTGCAAATATTTTCTCCCAGTTTGTATGTAGCTTGTATTTTCATTCTTGTAACAATCTTTCACAGAGAAAAACATTTTTTTTTTGATAAATTCTTTTTTTTTTTGGTCCCAGGGATCGAACTCAGGTCCTTGCACTTGCGCAGCAGGCGGCAAAACCACTGAGCTAAATCTCTGGCCTATTTTGATAAATTCTAATTTATCAAATTTTTCTTTTGTGGATCATGTTTAAACTCATCACCCAACCCAAAAGTACACATATTTTGGGTAATTGGCACAAATACATAATTAATTAATTCTTAATAAGTAATTAATTCCATTTACTTCCCCTCTCCCTCCTTCAATCCCTCCATCTTTAGACCCCCTTCCCATTTGCAAAAGATCTAGCTCTCTGTTTCCTATTATCTATCTTTTATTTTGTTCTTTAAATTATTTATACCTTGGATTTCTCATATAAGAGAAACCATGCAATATTTAAGCTTGTGCATGATTTATTTCATTTAACACTGTAGTTTCAAGGTGCATTCATTTTCCTACAAATAACTCTAATGTATCTTTTTTTATGGTGGAGTAGTCGTCCATCGTGTATAAAATACCACATTTTTTATTCAATGATCTGTTGATGAGCATAGATAGATTGCTTCCAGGATTTAGCTATTATGAATTGTGCTGCTATGAACATGAGTATGCTTATATCACTGTAAATGATGCCTTTAACGCTTTGGGGAACATACCTAGAAATGGAATAGCTGGGTCAAATGTAACTTCTATTTTTAGTGTTTTAAGGAATCATTTTAGATTTAAGTTCTCAGTTCATTTTGAGTTTATTTTTTGTGTAAGTTTCAACCATGTGTCAAAGTTTTTATTAATTTATTTATTTTCATGTGACTGTCTAATTATCCCATCATCTTTGCTGAAGATTGTCCTTTCTCCATTCAATTGTCTTTGCACTCTTGTCAAAAATCAGTTGACTCTGAGTCTATTTCCACGTTTTGTATTCTGTTTCATTGATCTATGGGTTTTATATTTTCTCTAACAACAGGCTGTCTTGATTTCCAAAGCTCTAGATTAAGTTTTTTTAATTTATTAGTACACATTTGAAGTACATAATGATTACATTCCTTGTGTGGAGTGGTACATGTACATAACACATCTTAGTTATTTTTTTCATCCCTTTTTCCTTCCCTTCCATCTCATTAGGTCCCCTCCCCCGTTGAGAAAGATCTATATCCTACATCTATCATTCTTTCTTTTTTTGGGGGGGATGTCTTTATTTGTACTTTGGGTTTTTCATTTAAAATAAACCATGTGATATTTAAACTTGTGTGTTTGATTTATTTCACTTAGTATTATGGTCTCAAGGTGCATCCATTTTCCTACAAATGACTCAAGTTTATCACTTTTTATGGTAAAGTAGTACTCATACTAGAATATATAAAGTACTTAAAAAGTTAGACCCCCTAAAATAAAGGACTCCATCAAAAAATTGGCAAAGGAAATGAATAGGCATTTAGTTCTAAGAAGTACAAATGACCAATAAATACATGAAGACATACTCAACATCACTGGCCATTAGAGAAATGCAAATTAAAACAACACTGAGATTCCATCTTATTCTAGAAAGAATGGTCATCACCAAGAAATCAAATAATAAATTCTGGGGAGTATGCATGGGGAAAAAGGAACTCTTCTACACTGTTGGTGGAAATATAAATTAAAACAACTATTATGGAAATCAGTGTGGGGATCCCCCCCTCCCCACTGCAAATTGAAACTAGAGTAATTTTTGACATTAGATAAGAGTTTTAATATTGGAGAAAGGCCAAAGTTTCTTGGCCTTTCTCCATT